GGGAATGGTAGGAAAGTATGGCCGGGGGGGGGGGGGGGGAAATCTTGAAGTATTAATTAATTCTGAGTAATTGCAAGCTTGAGGGGGCAGTGGTTATTATTCCGCGTAGAAACGCAGTGTCTTGTTTAGGCTGCTTCTCAAGTTTCTTTTTTTTTAAATAAACGATAAAAAAAATGAGGAGGGAAATAAATGTGGTTTATTAAAACATTTCCAGTTTCTTTCACTCTTTTGTTTTCCTTTAGGTGCAGTTTTTAAGACAATGTATTTACAAGGGAAAATATGCCAGACGCTCAGATCAAATGTCGAGTTTATCAAAGTTCTGATGAGTAAATTTCATTATATTTTTCCAGAATTGAATATCCTATGTATTGGTTTTCGTTGGCAATTTCCTTCATTTCTTTATGTTGTGAAATTTCCTGTCTTTTACTGTGTACTACGGTTTGGTATGAGACCCGTATCTATCGTTTCTGCGCTTTCTTAAAATATTCATAATTTCTGCTTGATTGTAGTCAATAATTGTTATGTTTTCATGAAGTCCTTATGTTTCTTCCTTTGGAACAAATGTGAAAATGAACTTAAATGTTTACAACAGTTTTTGTATCAGAAATATTTTCGTTTTGATGCCTGTGTTATCTTTTTTCCTTACTTTGTGATACTGATAGTAATAAACATCTGATCGTATATGGCGAAGCCTTGCGACGGACCTATCTGATCGTTTCTGTATGAACGAGTATACAATATTAGAAATAAATATCCCAAAATGATATTGTGTCCAGTGTTGTCTTTGGCTTAGCTTGGCAAACGGAGGAGGGTGAAGAGAAGGAAGAGGAGGAGAAGGGTGAGGGGGAGGAGGAGAAGGAGGAGGAGCAGGAAACGAGGGGGGAAGGGTATGAGAATAGAAATCTACAGAAAGAAAAGGAGGGAAGTGGGAGGAGGAATAATATAAAGAAGAATTGGTTGGATGCCAGCCGGGAAGAGGAGGACTGGTATGAACAAATGAAAGAGGAGGGAGATTGGTATGAACAAGAGGAGAAATGGGTAAAAAGAAGGCGGCAGGAGATTGAGTGGAGTCGAGGGTTCGGATAATAATAATAATAAATAATAATAATAATAATAATAATAAATAGTGTTTGTATAGCGCATACCCTAACCAACAGCAAACTCTATATGCGCTGTACACTACGTTATTACCCCAGCAGACCATAGAAAACTCAGAAACATTCCCAGCTTCCCGGGAAGCATACAGTGCAAGCAGCAGATTAAGGGCTCAAACACTAACAAACTGACAAGATCTTTCACTGTCTATAGCTGGGTACCCATTCCCACTTGGGTGAAGTGAGGAAAATTTGTGTAAAGTGCCTTTCTCAAGGACACAACGTTGGGTCCTGACGAGATTCAAACCCACGACCTTACGGTTTAACGAGTCTGAGAGCCTAACCACTCGGCCACCGACGCCGTGATTCTACTACACGTATGAATGGCAGCTGTAAACCTTCCTCGTCAGTGGTCAAAATTCCTGCAGTTGACAACCAGCATGTCTGAGTGAGCACAAAACGGTCTATTTGGAAAGTTCATTATCGCGGTGATGTAAACAGTTCTACCCCTTGGAGCAGCCCAGTCAAGCTCATACATGTACAGACACATGAGCGAAAATTCAGTCCCAATTTGAGAAATCAAGAAAATAGAAGAACCACCAGACCAGAAAAAAACATTTGTTAAAAAAATTGTTAATAACTTTCGGGTGCAATTAAGGTAAAAACTAGAACGCCCATCCTGGTTAATTTTTTTTAAAAAGTTTATTGCTATTGCACAACGGAAAGATGATAAAACAGTTAACCCCACTACATAATGGTTTTGCAGTGAAGATGTACCGGTATCTGCAAACGAAATCTCCCAAATTTACATGTTTATTATTTGCTTGGGAATACGGGATAGATATCTGTAACAACATAATGTTCCAAGCAAAGGTTCATTTTGAAATGGGCTGCAAATTTTGAAAAGTTTAGATCCATCGAAGAACAGAACTCAAAATCTAAGCCCCAAGTAACACAGTGTAGACAGCCTATAAAAAAACAACCAACTGAACACCAACTCTTGAAAAGGTTACGGTGGTCCATGATTCAGTGAAGTCTGGCCGAATCCTCGTCATTCTATCAACATTTTGAAGAAGCTTGAAACTATTTGTGAAGCATCGTGGTGTAATCAGGCCTAGTCAAAATAATGAAATAGAAGAAAACGACATTTTTCTTCCCATTTGGCAATTTTTATGGAATTTCTATTATTTGGCTCAACGTCAGAAAAGCTGTAAAGAGGAAGAGCCAGAAACAGCGATGCATTCTCTCCTGGTGATATCCATGCTAGAGTCCGGGATACGGAGCGTTTGGCTGTGAGCAGTGCATACGGCTGTTTAAGGCTACTATAATGTCCATTGCTGTGCGGCTTTTTACTTTTTACTGAAAATTGTTGATTAAATTTAAAACACAACCACGTATATTTACAGTTTCCAAGGACTCTCAAGCTTTGGAAATCGGCAAACTTTGGCGGCCATTTACTCTCTAATTTTACTTCTGAAACCAAGTGACCTCACCTGCTTCAATTCGACTTATCTCGACTTCCATTGAAGATAAATGGGTAATTTTTACACTGAAGGCAAGAAAAAGGAACAAGATTTATGAAGCCTGAATCCACTGGATTTTCAATGTTTGATGTGCTAGAAGGACAAGGTGTAGGGAAAATCCAAGACTTGAGAGAAACCATAACGGACGGATGGCACGAAAGAGATTTCCCACATTCAGTGTCAACGCCTGATTGTCATTTTCACTTAGCCTGTCCGAATGCGCTTTACTCGAAATTGGGGGTATCTAAAAGATTTTATATATTGCAATTTTGTGGCTTTAATATTTTGTTGTCATTAACTCAGGATAAATCCGGATGGATGTACCCCGTTTCTGCAAAACTTTGGTGATTGTACCTAAATTCATAACAGGTTTTATCGGCTTTTTTCTGATCACCTGGTATGTGTATCCTATGCCTATCTCTCGAACATTTCAACATTGCGCTGACTGAGCATATTGAATAAAACATTTATTGTACTGTGCCACTCCCTCCACACCCCCCCCCCCCCCCACACACACACACACTCACACCCAGGGCAGTGCTACTGACTGAAGTGTCTTTAGGCCATTCCCAAAGGATTAACATGTTCTTATGCACAGTATAATAGTAAATGGGCTGATGTATCAATGTCAGGCTTATACTGTGCCGAAACAACACAGGAGGAACTGCTGCTTTTTTATTTATTCATCCTTACTATCGTCATTTTTTTCTCTTTCTTTTGAATATTTGTCACTCTCTTGTGAACTGCTATTTCCGGGGTGTCTTGATTGTCGAGGCAGACTTTGTGCTGTTGAGGCAAGAGAGGTGAGCAGAGTAAGCCTGATTCCCTGTTTGGACTCTGTTGACAGTTGACATCCACCCCTTGGCGCTCATATGACCTTATAGTTGCGAACGCCGTAAAACCTTACTTTAAAAAAAAAAAGAAAGAAAGAAAGAAAGAAAGTATATAAAAAGAACAAAACGACTTATGAATGATAAAACACTTTTGACGCTCGCCATCGCGAACTATTTCTCACCTATGGTCAAAGGGAAACAAATATTATAACTGTTATATTTTTTGCTGAGATGTTTAGCCAAAGGGAAGCAACCAACAATAATGAGTCCGGGGACAGGAGACTTGGTCAGAACTCAGAACTCCGTAACCCGTCGTTGTTTTGCTTTTGCTACAGTTGGCTACAGGACATAATTTTCCTGGAAATTATTCTGCTTTTTGAAAACTGAAATGTTTCTTCAATATCGAGGTAGATTCTAGCTGGATTTAAAATCTGATTTGATCCTGAAATTTTATGGGGGGAGGGGGGGGGGGGGGGGTTGTGGTTTTTTTCACTACTCAACCCTTTACAGGTAATGATGTCTAAATCTAGATCTATATTACAGCGGGTTCGATGTTACCCAAAACAAAATATAAAAGGTACGGGTATAAACCCTAGGAGGGGGATTTAGATTGCGCACAATCGCCGCCCAAACCCCCCCCCTTTGGGCCCCCTGAAAAAAAAAGGGGCTGGGAAGAGGGGCGCCCCAAACCCCCATTTTTCGGGAAAAAAAAAGGAAGGGCGGAGAACACAACAGTCTCCCCAAAAACCAAGGGGGGGGGGGAAACCTCCCCCCCCCCCCCCCCCCCCCCTCCTTAAGGTTTGGCTGAATCCAGCCAACAAAAAAGCGAAGTCTTGATTCCAACGAGAGTATTGGGTATAGCAGGCCCTTGCCTCTGAATTCATTCAAGAAGTTCTATATTCCGTCTTGGGTTCTTTGCTGGTTTTATGCACTAAAGAGTTTCAATCAGGCAATCCTGAGAAACCTCTGCCAAATAGCGGGAAACACCGATCATGATTGTTAAATGCCTGTTTGTCTCTCTCTCTCTCTCTCTCTCTCTCTCTCTCTCTCTCTCTCTCTCTCTCTCTCTCTCTCTCTCTCTCTCTCTCCACACACGTTCAACCTCACCCCTCTCTTGCTTAAAAATTGTTCTGGAGTATTTTTTTGTGCCAACCTACTTTACTTGAACTTGAACAGTTTCCTCACGGATAAGACTGTCACACTGTCGTCTTTGCCTTTTCTCTTATCCCTCCGCTGTCCACTATCCACTGCTCTACCTTAACTAGCATTATTATATTACTTTTTTTCACTAATTTTTCTTTCCATGTCCGTACTTTCTTTTTCTATGGTCATGTCCCTTTTCAATTAAAGTGCATAATAATATTGTTATATATGTATTACTATTCCAAGGAGGTTACCCGAAGTCTTTCTTTGATCATAAAATGTGTAACTATTAAAATTTGGTCTGAAAACGCTAGTGTTTATCTAAATCTGGCAACCTACTATGTGTTTTTTTCATAGACCTATAATTAACCTAATTATAGGTCTATGGTTTTTTTTCTTCAGTTTTTCAGCTTTCGGTTTGCACCTGAAGAGTTAGATTCTGTAATCTTGGCTACAGCACAGTAACAGACACGACGTTGCATTTGATATATATACATGTGTAATGCATTATGTAGCCTGTAATCTGTAACTTTGACTTCTCCAAATTGTTTGAACTGTGTAGAACAATCGTTTCAAATTTGAACATTGTTGAAAGTTGATGGTTAAGATGTTGGATTGTTGGAGCCTTCAACTTCAAGATTGTTATTGTTGTAGATTCTGTTACGATTGGAGGCAGTTTTAGGCTAGATCTAGGCCTTCTAGATTCTATATCAGTACTGTAAGTACAATCATCGTAATCTAAGCTGTAGCCTACATTAGATATTTAGGCTACTTAGATTCTTGCTCGCTAGACTCACTCTCTCAGAAACTTAACTTTTGAAAAGTATAGCAAGTGCACAAGCGACATGGAAAATGAAGACAGAGCCTTTTCAGAAACGAACGACATGATACAACAATGGTACTTCGACTATTTTGTGCATACATGTGCAAAACTTGTAGATCCAAATGGTTCTCAAGACAAAACCAGCAACTGGGAACAAATCGAGAGAACCATGTCAATGATCCAATGTAAGTCAGCTGTTGTTGTCAAATGTTGCCAAAGTGTTTGTTAATTATAATTTGTTGCCGCAATGTGTTGACCTGATACACGATGACGATATAGATCTAGATCTAGATCTAGAATCTATATCCAAACACACATTGTAACGCGTACATGATCTTTATAAGTCCTGTGACACCATATATTATAACTTTCTGTTGATTAGTCAGATAGGTTGAATAAAAAATTCTCTCAATACCACTCAATGGGCTACCCTTTGCGCAGTACTTTTAAAGTTTAGAGATCATGTTCTCATAGGTTTGATAAAAGTACCAGCCATCATCGACTTTATAATATTCTTGTAATTTAGGATTATTTAAATGAGATGCGCATCAGCACAATAGTAGCAGTCATTTAGAGAGAAACAGTAAAAGTAAAGAAAAGGGAATGTAAAATAAAAGAGTATCTTTAATTACCCTCCTAAATATTGTGTATGTCAAGCTTAAAAACACTCTCACCCTGTTTGCAGGCCTGCCAACCTTCCTGATTTTATCGGGAATTTTCCGAATCAGATGCGCTGCTCCAGACTTTCCGAAAACAGTCTTGATTTCCCATTTTCGGAGCCTGGTTTATAAATATCCATTTGCGCGAAAATGACTTTAATGAAATCAACGATGCCAGAACTTGTGTTGTATTACCTAAAATATCGGGAGCGAACGACGAGCCTGCAAGATGGTGCTCCCGCCAGCTGTTGCCGAGGGATGTCAGTCTACCAACCGACAAACCAAGACGGGGGGCTCTTGTGGCCTAGAGGTTAAGGTGTTGGCCTCTCATTCAAAGGTCCCGGGTTTGAATCCGGGTAGTGGCCGAAAAATTTTCTTCTCTAAAATTGTCTCCTTTCACCTCCTGTCCTGCTCTCTAGCAATGTTCTGTTGTCTGTTTTCATTTCCACTTTCTGCCCCCATCCCCTCACCTCCTTTGCCCCCTCCTCTGGGCTCCTAACTCTTTCTGCAGCCTTTCTACCGTTACTCCTTGGGTCCTCCTTACTGCTGTCTTTCTACCACACCCCTGATCTTTTGGTAGGAAAGATCTACACCTAGCCTTCTCGGACAAGGGTGAAAAATCTCGTAGGGTCCGTGTGCAAGTTGCACACCTTAAAGGTCCCTTGGTGGTCTAAAATCGATAAGAGTAGGCTTCAGCCGCCACCCGTGCAAAATTCAAAATTTTCTACCAACTGAAAATATTAGGTGTGTCCCGCGTGCTTATATGACCTTATGCAGTTGCGAGCGCCGTAAAACACTTTAGGGGGCTCTCGTGGCCTAGAGGTTAAGGTGTTGGCCTCTCATTCAAAGGTCCCGGGTTCGAATCCGGGTAGCGACCGAAAAATTTTCTTCTCTAAAATTGTCTCCTTTCACCTCCTTTCCTGCTCTGTAGCAATGTTCTGTCGTCTGCTTTCAATTCCACTTTCTGCCCCCACCCCCGCACCTCCTTTGCCCCCTCCTCTGGGCTCCTGACTCTTTCTGCAGCCTTTCTACTGCTACTCCTTGGCTCCTCCTTACTGCTGTCTTTCTGCCACACCCCTGATCTTCTGGTGGGAAAGATCTACACCTAGCCTTCTCGGACAAGGGCGAAAAATCTCGGAGGGCCCGTGTGCAAGTTGCGCACGTTAAAGATCCCTTGGTGGTCTAAAATCAATAAGAGTAGGCTTCGGCCGCCACCCGGGCAAAATTCAAAATTTCCTACCAACTGAAAATATTAGGTGTGTCCCGCGCGCTCATATGACCTATGCAGTTGCGAGCGCCGTAAAACACTTTACAAAAACAAAAACAAAAAAAACACTTTACAAAAACAAACAAAACCTAGACGACAGCTGCAGAACGCGTCGACCCACTTGGAACACCAGGACCTCAACAACCTGTCAACACTGGTTCAAGGTCAGCAGTCATGCGCCTCTCATACGGCCCTACCAACCAATCGGAAAAGGTGGTGTACCCAACCTGGCAGCATCTGCACACCCTCTGTCAGCGCTTTGAATGTTCCATCCACTTACAGTGGATTCCAGGCCACGCTGGACTGGCTGGGAATGAGGAAGTTGACAGCATCGCCAAAGAAGCAACAGTGCTCACTCAGATTGACTCGCCAATCGATTTCTCGACAGCTAAAGCCGTCATCCAAAGATCGACCCGCGCAAAGTGGAAGAGAGAGAGGCGAAACCCAAACTGCCGTTTGCCCGGCCGCCATCATACACCAGCTTGAGGCCTCGCTCAGACGACAAGACCGCCGGCTTCTCTCCCAAATGAGAACTGGTGGAAAATCGCCCAAGCTGAGATTAAATCTCCGCAAAATTGCGCCAGCAGACAACCAATATCCATCCTGTCGAGCCTGCAAGGAGGAGGACGAAACTATGGACCATGTGTTCCTGAGATGTCCCGCCAGCTATCGTGCCAGAACCCGTCTGCTGGGACATTTCAGTAACCCACTTTCAGCACTTTTTAAGGACCCCCAGGCAAGTGTTGAGTTCCTGTGTGCTGTCGGCATCGCTGTCCGTTTATGAAGCCACAGCGCCAGAAGAGAGAGAGAGGGAGACGTAAAATATCCAGATTAGCCGTGCGTCCTTTACACTGTTAGGTGGTTCGGACATATCGTCGGCGTAGCGAGTTAACCGACTAACCCACAAAATACCAAATTTTTAAAAATTGGCTCTATCAATAGCAAATTGTCCATTTCATATATGCTCACTCAAAAACAGTCCTGAATTTTATCTAGAAATGTCTTTAAAACATAAGAAATAAAACTAACCCGGCACCTATCGTATTTTATCCCGATGTTTTGGACTATCCCACACTGTACAGGCCTGACCCGCTGGTTTATACAAAGCGCTTTCTCCGGAGAAAAAAAAAGTGCCCCAAGAACACATCATGCCCACTATGAGAGAGCCAAGGATGACAATTGTTCCTTATGGAGGTATTTTTGGACAAACTTGCAAAGATGCCCTCCCATTACTCTGGCTAGTCAACAACAAAATCGTCTATGCAGATGACATTCCCAAACACATCAGCTCTGCATTAAATAAGTATGGAGAAATGTGCACAGGCAGAAAAAAAACATTGAGCTATCAAGTGTTCTGCCATAAGTTCATGGAAAACAATTTGGGTTAATTTTGACCCATGAAAGACCAGTGCAACGTTTGCACCAGCTTCGAATCTGGACACCTCACAGAAACAGAATACACAGCTCATCAAATGAGGAAAGCTGCAACTCGAGCAGAGAAGAAGAAGGACAGGGAGGCTGCACTGAACCAGAGAATAAGATATTATAAAGTGTGCGTCCTTTGTGTGGAGATCCAGTGAATCCTCCTGGCACCGTCACTAAAGACATCTCTGCCTTTTATTATAAAACAAAACTGGCTGTACACAATTTTATGATTTAAAATTATCTTGCCACCAGAGACATTAGATGTTATGCCTGGGATGAAAATGAAGGTGGTGTGAGCTCACAGTTTTCATCATGTCTGACTCTCTACCTGAGGTTGCAAGCGACTGACTTCAAGCACTTCATCCTCCATCCCCTACAGTGATGGGTGCAACTACCGAAACAGAAATTATGTCGTCCTGGCGAGTGCAATGGCCTTGCTGGCTAAAGAGCTTAGCTTCACAGTTGAGCAGAAATCCTCACCAAGGGACATACCCAAATGAAGCTGGATTCAGTCCATGGCACTATTGAGCGACTGGTATAGAGTATTTCAAAGCAATGGTGACTTTTTGTCGTATTGCCTTGACATAGCCATAGCGCACAGAGTGAAATAGACATGCTCTTTTATTGATGAAAACTCAATAAAGTAGTTGTTGTCAAGCCAGGCTCCTTGAGGAAAATTGACGTATTTTTTATACTCACCAAGCCTTTGTGTATAATAATAATACAACAATATTATAATACAATAATAGTGGGTGGTTGGCGGGTGCTCTGGTGTGGTTTGCTTCTCCTTTCCTATTGAACATCTGTCGTTCTTATCTCCCTTTCTTCTTTTTTATGTTTGTTACTCTCTTGTAACACCTCTAATCTTCTGGCACTCATATATTATGACCTTATGCAATTGCGAGTGCCGTAAAACCTCTACTAAAACTAAAAACTAATACAATAATACACTCCAAAAAATGCTGAAATAGCGGAAATTTTGTATGGCTTTCTGCTTTTTCTTTTCTTTTTTTCTTTTACTATTTTCCCGTCATTTGAATGACCACCCAGTGTCAATAGTACCGTGTCAGACACTGTCATAACTTCTAAAACTAAAAGTCTGCTGCTGCTGTTGTTGTTGTTGTGTGTGTGTGTGGTAGCCTATCCGTTCGAAATGTTTGGAGCCCAGAGGAGCGTGCACTTCGACAGGGCCACCGCCTCCCTTATGCTCTCTCTTACCCTTTGAATTTCCTGTTCTTCTACTTCAAATGTAGTTAACAGACCCTTTGATGTGTTCTACTTCTTCTTCTTCTAGTAGTAAATTTTCAACTTTTGAATGCTGTTTTTGCCTAATTGACTCCCTACCACTGAAATAACTACAGCTAATGGCATGGTAGCGATAAAATCGCCCTCTTCCTCTTCCTTCTTCTTCTAACGTCATCTTACTCCTACTCCTCCTCCTTTTCCCCCCTCCTTTTCCTCTTACCTTCCTCCTCATCTTCTTCTTATTCTTATTCTTCATCTGATGATGAGGATACATGTATCACAAAAGATCATGACGATTGAAACAACAAATCAAATACGTTAATCGGCAAGTTCTGCTTGGCTGCTCTCAAAGCCAGCAGTAGCTTCCTGATAAAACCGACCAACCCACAAAATTGAGGGTGGTCGGTTTTATCCGGAAAAATTTGAGCGACATATACATCCAATCCACAGTTTCATTAAAATAGATTTTTTAAGGAAAAAAGGTCCACAGTTTTTCAGTAAAGTGTTTTTATAGGTGTTTAAAGCATTGATTCATCGTTAGACGGAGTTGTTTTGAAATGAAACAGTTTTTTTCCTTCTCCTGTAAAATTTACCCTGCTTTGGTTAGTAGATTTTACCACAAGGCCAATGATAGATTACATATATTATATAAAATAAATATGAATAAGTTAAGTGTGACAGGACAGACCTGGCACACAGCTTGCCACGCTGATTTTCCCTATTTTGCATTTTCAAAAGTTGGCAGGCCTGTGTTTGGAAACATTTCCCTGGTGTAAGTCGTAAGTGTGACTGATAAAAGTTGCATCTTATATGATACAGTTGAGACTAATGATTATTTTTTCTCAATGCTTGTATGGGAATTTTGTACTTAAAAAATAAAAAAGCACATGTGGAATCAGGTGCTCGTCAATTTTTGAGATTGTGGAGTTATTGGTATCGTCTTAAAGCTTGTTCATTTGCCTTGCTTTCAATGAAAGAATTACCCATTTATCTTATCTTGAGTACATGTCGAGATATTTGCGATTGAATGAGGTGGAGGTTGCCTGGTTTTAGAGATAAAATGAGTGAGAAAATGGCCACCAAAGTTGGTTATTTAAGCCTCAGAGTCCGTGGATATAGACAATTTACATTTTGTGTGCCTTTAGTCGATTTTTTTCAATTTAATTCACACTGAAATGGGTTTTTATATGGACATAGAAGAGGTTGAGTCAAAGACCAAAAATTCGATAGAAATTTTCAAATGGACAAAAAAAAATGCCATTTTCTTCAATTTCATTATTTTGAAGAGCGCCAGATTTTACCACATGACTCACATCTAAATGAGTTTTAATGTTTTAACACAGAAGGAGGCCAACTCACTAAATTCATTTTCTTTGCATTATAGTTATATAACACAATGACTACTTCATTTTTTTGCAACATAATTTCACAGGTTTGCTGCACGAGTCTGTGGATCCTGAGTATCCAGGAAACAAGATCAAGGCCCATCTACTGGAGCTGCTGTCCTTGACCCGTAACGTTGCAATCAGATTGGAGTCTGAGGAGCAAGAATCTCAAACTGATCTGCTGGAGAACTTTCGTGAGATTTTGCGCAGTCTAATGTACATTTATGAGAATTCTGAGGCGGTGAGGTCAGAGGCTGAGGTGTGTTTATTTGAAACAAATTATGTGGTAAGTCATTTTTGTAATGATTGAGTTGTTAAAAATAATAAAATTTCCATGTGTGGTCTGTACACTTCAAATTTACACCGTTCCAAATTAAGTCAATTAAAGCAGTGAAAGTTCCCCTTATCTTATTATATGAAAAAAGAAGGGATGATTTTGTAAATTTTTATAAGACTCTCATTGAGCAATAATAAACACTTGTGCTCAATAAGGACCGAAAAGGAAAACTGTTAGTGTAGATTCACTATTGTGCTGCTTTTCATTGAGTAAGAAATAAGAACAGTCGAACCTGTGTAAGATGGAATCGCAAGGGAGCCGGAGAAAATTCCAACTTAAACATTTTCCATCTTGGACAGGGGATTTAAGGGGGGAGTTGGAGGTGGGTTTCAAAAAGGCCCTGCCGGTGGGATCAAGGGTCGCTTGTTCGGTCGGCAGGCAGTGGTCAAAACTTCACACTTCTCAACTGCTATCCTCTCTGATAATGACATGCATCAGTCTTACTTATCCAAGTATCCCCAGTGCTTGCATTAAAAGCAGAAACATTCGAAAATCTGCTTTGCTTCCACCCTTAACCTCACTCGTCGGTGTAACAAACACAGTCAACCAATCCCCCCCCTCACAGCCATGTAAGAACGATTTGAGGAACTCTTTTCTCGGCTGGCCGTACGATCAGGGCTGCAGGCATTGGTCAAACTAATTCCACACCTCTGACTTCTGGCTGCCCAGGAAAGTTTCTACGATGGCTCGCTTTTTCACTGGTACTTGTGAGATTTCACACCCACACCACCCTGCCATCTGCATCGCTCAGGGCTCACATAGATGGGGTAACATCTACCCCAAGTAGGTTATACAGTAAGGTCCTTGATCTACCTCCAAAGTGCACCCTTACTCCCATTCCTCGCCTGGCGGCATGGCATTAAGTTTATAGCCTGCAGAACTAAACTTCCGAGTTTTGTTTCAATCCAGTGCTGAGCGGGCGCAGCATTTTCCGACTTAGACAGGTAAAACCCTCGGGAGGGAGCGGCCTTTTCTTTCTGTTTCCGTGTTGAATAGGTTTCCGTTTTATACAGGAAATTGAAGAGGAGGAATATAACGAGGGAGGAGTGGGGATATTCCGTTAAGACAGGTTTCCATCTTACACAGGTTGTCGTTAAGGCAGGTTCGACTGTACTTTGAAAGTGGCGTTTTACTGGGCTTGTGATTTAGGGTTAAAGCCAATTGCATGCCCCAATAGTCTGAAAACATCAGGAGCAGACATGGGATAAAAAGGACCTGTTTTATATGTGTGTGAAGACAGTTGCCTAGTTAAGAAGGACTTCAGCTTTCAGTGGACATGAGCTTGCTGACAACATGTTCGATTTTACTACTGCTCCCATTTCAGAAAGCTTGAGTTTTGCCTTGATGGTCTTTTGAATATATCTGGTCATTCTGACATGGGTCTTTTTAAAGTAAATCATACATTTTTCTGCTGGGTTTTTTTTTTTTTGGCCTATGTCTTGATTTTGGTGTTGATACATGTATTATAATAATCATAAAAATGTATTGACATGGTGCAAATTGTTATGTTTCAAGAAAAAAAGAAACAAGAAAAACGGAAATTGTCTTGTTGGTGATGATGAGATGATGATGATGAAAATTTTTTCTGTTGTTACTTTGTCGGCTCAGGATAAAACTCTTCTAACTGTGAGTTGTTGCTTCAGATCTGCCATGTGGCTGCCAAGCTAAATTTGACAGAAGCATCTCCCAAGCAGCTTCTCAGCAAGTTGATCAGCGAGGCACACAGAAACTTAAGAAGATTTCGGAATCTGGAGGATGATGTACAGACTGTGAGTATTGTATTGTTTGTAAATTGTAGTTTGTGTCTTGGTTTGTTCACATTGTATTTCTTGATTTTTTTAAGTGGTGCATATATATATATATATATGTCTAAAGCTATAGGTTAAAGCCACAGACAAAAATAGTCACCTGAATTTTGTTTTGCTGATGATAAAATATGTCCGTTCTGAAGAGAAAGCTATAGAAAATACTACTGTGTCATGAGTCTTACTCTAAGGGTATTCTTATTAGGGTCAGTGTACATTGCGATCCACTAATGTTGTAGATTGCGAGTATTTTATTGGCGGGGGTCTAAGAATAATGTTTTATTAGCTTTTTATCAGTATTACTAATTTCTTATCTGTGTCAACAGATTTGTACATTATTTTCTGGACCCCTGTGTCTAGAAACAGGCTCAGAACATCATTTGCAACTAAACAAAGTTTCTGCTTCTGTTCTCATGACCCTTTTATTTGTTTGTTTTTGGACTTTTATCTTTTAAATAAATCTTGTTACTCTTGATTTTTTTTAATGGCTAGAAACAGGCATAGAACGACATCTGCAACTAAATAAAAAGAAATGTCTGCTTCTGTTCTCCTCACCCCTTTTTTTTTTTCCCCCTGGACATTTATATTTTAAATAAATCTTGTGACTTTTGATTTCTATTCCAGGCCAAACTGAACACTTGCAACAAACTCAGGTCTCACCCACGATCTATCAGTGAGATTGAAATTCAACCTCTCCTTGCCAGCCTGCTGCAACTGGTCAAAGATGTAGAACATTCTTTGGATGCTCCGTATCTGATTGAGGTATGTGAACCGACTTTTGACTCTACAAAGGTCACCTGGGGTAGAGGGGAGGGGTTTGTTTGTTTCTCTATCTGGCCATGTTCTTTTTCACAGTAGAATTGTAAATGAGCTAATTTATCAATGTCATGCTCATACTCTGCCGGAACAACATAGATGGAAGTGCTGCTTTTTCTTTCCTCAACCTTACTGTCGTCATTTTGCCTGTACTTCTTTCTTCTTTTGAATGTTTGTCACTCTCTTATGAACTGCTATTTACAGGAGGCCTTGATAGTCGAAGTACACTTTGTTCTTTTTAGGCTAGAGAGGTGAGCAGAGTAAGCCGGATTCCCCGTTTAGACTTCTCTGTTGACATCCACCCATTGGCCCTCATATGACCTAATGCAGTTGCTAGCGCTGTAAAACCTTACTTAAACTGAAAACAAAAGACTGGTTGTTTTTCAGGTCTTCTTTGTGGCATCCTCTCTTATGCTATGGAGGTCCGTTGCGCTTTCCAGGAAAAGTCTGCTCAGTCGCTCAGAGGGCTGTTTACCTTAACTTCTGCTCCATAGATGGAAGAACAATCAGTTTAAGGCCGAGCCCTTTCTATTCGAAATCTAATTTGTTTTGTTTTATTCTTTTGCTGGTTCATCATACTATTCATAAATCTACATCATTATTTTTTTTTTCGGTCTTATGTTGCTAATCATAAGATCATTAGTTTTGTTCACATTTTGTGGATGATTGGCGGGTGCTCCGGTGTACTTTGCTTTTTCTTTCCTATCAAACAACTATGTCTTTACCTCTCTTCCTTTTATATATGTTTGTTACTCTCTTGTAACACCTCTAATCTTCGGCACTAATTTGACCTTATTGTGTTGCAAGTGCCATAAAACTCTAACTAAAACAAAAAGAAAAAGTTCTCTCTGTGACCAGTGTCAATTACGTCCTTTTTATTTAAATTTTTGTTCTGTACACCAGTCGCTTTTGATGACAAGTTGCAATTTATTTTTCTCACCAGTTGCTTTTGATGACAAGTGGCAATTGATTTTTCTTTAAAACTTGCTATGTCGCTTCCCAGATTGCCGCATTGCACAAACTGAGAACAAAATTGAAGGAGAATCCAGGTGAAGAAGAAGAAGAGTTGTTGGCACATGATAGGTGAGTCTCCTCCTCCTCCTCCTCCTCTTCCTCCTCTTCCTCCTCCTCCTCCTCCTCCTCCTCCTCCTCCTCCTCCTCCTCCTCCTCCTCCTTTTGTTTACTTTTGTTAGGTATGCAAGTACGTTAAGATGTGTTTTTCCTTCCACAGTAAATGATTTTAATTCTCCGTTTCCAGAAACAGCTGGGTGTATCATCCACCTCCCGCGGTATTAGAACAGAAGAGTCATAGCCTTGTTAAAAACTCAGCCTTCCATTAAATAACAATCTCTATCGGTGGAAATTAACAAACTCACCCTTATGTGAGAGGTGTAACTCATGAAATTGAAGATGAATGTCACTTAATTTTCTATTGTCCATATTTTGTCCATCAAAGGAAAATGTTAATTTCTCCCAACAGCTTGACCCGGCCCAGTGACAGAAGTGTGCCATGACCCATGATAAGGGATATGTGCATCACCCGTAGTCTATCATTATGGAAACTTTATTTAACAAATGAGTGTTTTATACGATATGATGTGGGCCAATGGCCTTAAACACTGAATAAACTTACTTATTTATTTACTTACTTTAATGTAGTGCGGCCTACATTCCACTCTAGAACTTAGACTACACACTGCACTCGTCTCAGGTGCCCAAACTCCATGTTGGAAGGTACTCTCGTTTGTTTGCACTGACCATAGATTGTTCAGCTTTGTCGAGGGAGTAGTATACATTTTAGTTTGTACAGCTGACTAATCTTTCTGTCTTAGCCCAGTGTAACATTTTCCTGTGCCTGGACCCCTGAGTCTCACTCGCCTAAAAAAAGGCCAAGAACTTTCATCCATATCTAGTCAAAGAAGGTGGGATCTCGTGGCCAAGAGGTTAAGGTGTTCGCCTCTCATTCAGTAGATCCCTGGTTCGAATCCTTTTAGCAATGGAAAATTTTCTTCTCTAAAATTTTCTCCTTTCTCGTCCTTTCCTGCCCTCTAATAATGTTGTCGTCTGCTTTCATCTCCACTTTCTGCCCCCACCCCCTCACGATAAGAGTCGGCTTCGCTGGCCACCTGAGCAAATTTCAAAATTTCCTACTAACTGAAAATGTTTGGTGTGTCCCACTCACTCATAGGACCTTGTGCAGTTGCGAGCGCCATAAAACACTTGCAAAGGAAAAAAATAGACAAAGCATTGGTTCTCAGTCTCATTTCCTTTGTTGTGAAGAATGTGAGAAACCGGAGAAAAAACTCCCACCAAAGTTATTTTACAAACTGGACCTGTTGGAACTGGGGTTCTGACCGTGTACGAACTGGGGTTCTGACCGTGTGCTTTGGCTTGAGAGACTAGTGACTTGTCTGAAGAGAAACACAAAAGTGTAAAACTGACACTATACCTAGATTCTGGAATGTCTTTTACTTCTTAGGTGTTCTTAACACTTTGCCGCCTCGCGATTTTTACCGCCCTGTTTCTTTGGAATTTCCCCAAAATGCCTTTGCCTTTGATGACAAGAGTTTTTGCTATATGAGCCTTGTGGCGTCAAAGTGTTAAAAAATAGTTGCTTAAGAATAATGATATGAGTATGTTATATTTGTATTTCACAACAGACCAGAAAGTCGAGGTGATGTGGAGAACGTCCTTGCTGAGATTGGTTATGCTGGAAATACATTAAATGGACAAAGAAAGAGAAAAGGGGCAGAGGAATCCCTTTGCAAAATAAGAAAAGTAGGTGCCGATGTCAGATAGTTTTGGTGAAATTTTGAAAACTCCTTTGTTGTCTTATGGCATACATGGCGGTCACTAAAATGCATATTTTTTTAGCTTTTATGCTGTGCCATGGATGTCACAAAAGTTGGCAAAATGGACCATTCCAAGTTGCTTATAAGATGTTACATTGATGTCCCACTAATCATCTGTGTCCAACTCTTCTGTAGGGATATTTTGCCACAAGCACAGCATGGATCCCTAACAATAAATTTGCCTATCAGTACCAAATTTGCTAGTGTTACTTTACTGCTGCTAGTGGGATTGCAAACGATTGATAAGTACGGGAGTCTTGCAGACATAAGCCTGCTCCTGCAAAACATAAACACAAAAACAACTTTAAAAAAGCATCTATTTTCTCTTTTTGACTTAGATTTGCTAATTGTTCTTAATAATAAGGATAACTGGGAATATGGGGATGAGGAAGGTGACATTATCGAAGAACCAAACTTCTTTACCTTACTAAGGGTATTGGGATTCTGTAGTGTCATAAAGTAGGGTTGAAGTTTTTGCTTCTTGATTTGCCTTAAAGTATATTGAAGAAGCATACAACTCAAAGACAAACTGAAGACTATGCAGTATATATATCCAGCCACCATTTAATGTGTTCAGGAGATGTTTTGTTTGTGGGTGGTTGACGAGTGCTCTGGTGTGGTTTGCTCTATCTTTGCTATTAAAAATCTATCTCTCTATCTCCCTTCCTTCGTTTTTGTGTTTGTTACTCGCTTGTAACACCTCTAATCTTCAGCACTTATATGACCTTATTGTGTTGCAAGGGCCGTAAAACTCTTACTAAAACTAAAACTAGATGTTTTGTTAGCAGTTGTATTCTGTTTTATGTGAAGCCTATAAATTGAGTTTTGTCTTTTTTTTTTCTTCCCATAACAACTCGTCACACAAAAGTCTTTCAAAGCTTCCAAGAGGGCCACAAGACCATCAGATGGGGTAGACCGCACACAGAGGAAGAGGAGCGCCCCCATTGACGATGAGTCATCACCTCGATCTGGCCGTTCTTCCAGTGACTCATCGGATGACCAGTTGTCTTCCTCCGACACTGCGAGACGGAGACGTCCTGTCGTGTTGAAGAAAATAGTCCCCAGACAAAGTCTAATCAATTTTGCAAGGGCGGTGAGTAAATAACTTTGTTTTTTTTAAGTATGTATGACCGTGAGAAAGCTTATCCAAATTGTCTTTGATGAGTTTGTCCTTTAACTATTCGTATATTGGCGTACCAGTTCAGCAAAAGTCTGTATGTTTAATGTAATTGTATGTGTATTGCTAGGGTGATTCATTTGTACTCAGTTTGGGCAACCAAATGAAGTGTTGTTAACACGGATGTGGTAGCAGGGAAGGGGGGGGGGGGGGGGAGGGGGTTCGTTTTTTTAAATCCTATGTGGACGGTTGGCGGGTGATCTGGTGTGGTTTGCTCCTTCTTTCCTATCAAGCATCCATCATCCTGATCTCTCCTCCTTCTTTTTTTATGTTTGTTGCTCTTTGATAACACCTCTAATCTTCGGCTCTTATTTGACCTTATTGTGTTGCAAAGTTCCGTAAAACTCTTTCTAAAACTAAATTTTCTCCCACAGGTAAAACCGCCGTCACATCAAACCTTAAGAATGGGCAGATGGACACAAGAGGAGGTAGACGAGTTTATCCTGGCTACTCTAACTATTGGAGAAGGTTGGTGGATTACCAATGTGAGGCTTCGTGATAAAATCAGGCGCTCATCAAAATAATGAAATCTGAGAAATCAGCATTATTACTGAAAAATTTTTCTATTTTAGCTGCTTAGACCTCTTCGGTAAGAGCCAGTATGTCTTCCACAGGTTGTGAAAATGCGCCTAGCTTTTTTTCCCACGACAGGTCGTTAAAAAGCCAGTGCTTCCAGTCTTACGCAAATGGAAAAATGTCCGTGAAAATTCGTGCAAATAAAGAATTATTTTTAAAATATTATTTTCAAAAATGCGAAATAAAAAATTTCCGTAATTACTAATAGTCAACAATAGCCAAGCCAAACAGGAAGTGCTCTTTTACTTGAAAGTGTAGACAGTGTCTTTTACTTTCACTTTCTAAAGCACAAGAAGCAGAGCACCAGCACTGTAAACAAGAGGAAGACATGACGATTGTGGTTCAATAGATCTTGGGCCTGCCAAGAAAAGAAAACTCTGAAGAGAGCTTGATTTTTTCATCAGACTTGTTTATTTGTACATATTGTTGAGGATTTAAGTTGAATATAAGCTGTCAAGTTATTTAGATATCTAGAATCTAGATTCTAGCTGTTATACTATTATGAGGATTCTACCCATTATAGTGCAAACCAACACATGCAGAAAAAAAGTTGAACGTTAACAGTCAAGTTTTATAGATCTAGCTGTTGTACTACTGTTGTGGATGTACTGTATTAGTACAAGGGAGAAAGCATGGCTTTGGATTTATATGGATTAACACAAGCAGAAAATTATGTAGGCCCAAGCAAGGTATGTTTTTTTCTCACTTATTTTGCAAGGTATGTTTTTTCTCACTTATTTTGCAAGGTATATTTTTTTTCTCACTTATTTTCATTTTAAATTTAGGCTTGAATAGCCAGAAATGGCATACTTAGGATGCCCTGAAACCAAAAAATCTCAAACGTAAGGAGGACGCCGTTGCCATCCCCCTTCAACCCCCTGCCAGGGCGCTTGGACCCGAAAATCCTCGAAAAAAAATTTTTTCTTTCATTCTTTTTTTTTTATTCCTAGTCTAGGACTGATGAAATTATTTGGCCATTATCAATTCCATCTGATTCTCTGTGAGCTTACAAACTACAGAACAGTGAACTGTTTTATTTAAAATTACATTTTTCCTTTGCCTTGTAACAGTCTCCCTCTCTTCTTTTGTTCAGGGTACTGGGTCGAAATAAAAAGGGCAATAGACAGTAAGAGATCTTCTACACAGCTCAAAGACAAGTGGAAAAGTATGCCCATAGATCGGATTCTGTCGGTTGCGAGGGAAAATGACCTGAAGTACACTGGAAAGAAGTGGCATCAGTGAGGTCTGAAAAGGTAATAATCTACTTTCAGACATTTGTTTTGTTACCTGTCCAGGTGAGGCATGTGCGTCCAGGCGAGGCGTGTGTGGCTGAGAAGGTAGCTGTAAAGTAGTTCTCGTTAAAATGATGTTGCTCGTCTATCGCACTTGAAAACTTTTTACCCATTTATGCTACTACCATTTTCACTTTTTACCCTTAAATGATTAAATGCAGCTACCCCATTTTCACCTTTTACCCATTGATGCAACTACCATTTTCACATTTTACCCATTTATGCAACTACCATTTTTGCCCCCCCTGTAAAGGCTCATGAAGCTCCACCACTATGGTTCACTGTTTGACCACTGATAGAAAAACGATAAATCAGAAGGAAAAAAAGTTATTTTTGGTCAGTGCTAGAAGTATCATACCGTACTTGAATGAGAAGTGAGGAAGCCGATAAGTGGAGTACAGTGATCTTTTAAAGTTTGGAGGTGAAAAAGAAAAGTTATGTCAGAAATCAATCAATCTCTTGATTTGGCTTCTAGCTCAAAACCAAGTGTGCAGACACATTCCCAATTCTGACAGATCACATCACCTCAAATCAGAAGTGGGTCTATTGACACTTACTATGATCACACTTTGGGTCCTGGTATATGAAGAGCTGTTTACACAAGACAGAAGCTGGCTGACTTGATCAACTATATATATATATATATATATATATGGGTCACGGCGCTGTGGAATCAAGTGCTAGTCAATTTGTGGGCATTTGGAGTTCTTGGTATCACCTTAAAGCTTGTTTAGTTGTCTTGCTATCAGTGAGAACCCCCCCCCCCATTTATTTTGAATTGAAGTCAAGATATTTGAGATTGAAGAAGGTGGGGTCACCTGGTTTCAAAGGTGGAATTAGCGAGAAAATGACCGCCAAAGTTTGGTTATTTTCATAGCTAGATAGTTCATAAAAACTGAAGACCATGCTGCCTCACATATAGACCTATGCTATTGGATGAAGCTGTGAAAAGAGAGTGTATTAAAGGGCACTCTACCCCTCCCTCCCTCTTTCCCATCCCCCATCCATTCTTTTTTTTTTTTTTTTGTTGGGCAGGGGTTGGGGAGAGGGGGGCTGTTTGTTCACTTCGCTCTGGGTTCTTTTTTTTTTTTTGCTTTGATACGATCTTCTTAACCGAAGTTGATGTCAACTCATCGACTTTTTAGGATGGTTTCAGAAATATTTTCATCACATTTCTTCTGCCTTTGTCTTTACAAATGGTATAATGATGAAGTAATTGTAAAATATAAGGCTGTTATATTACCGTTATCTGTGAGACCTGTTTTTTGTTTGGGATGAGACTGCTAATTGAAGGACACAAAGTGACTCAGTGACTTATATTTTTTTCAGGTAATTGGTAAAATATGTTTCTCTTGTTTCGTCTGCTTATTACACACAGGGAAGCAAATTTAACAGGGTTGTTTCTGGATAATCTGGTGAAACAGAATTGAAGTGACAATGTAAAAGTCTAGGTGAAGTTCGTTTTATATATGTATGTGAGGCATTGTGGTGAAATCAGGCGCTCATTAAAATAATGAAATTGAAGAAAATGGCAATTTTCTACCACCGGTTTGGCACATTTTATCATTTTTAGAATTTTTGACTCAACACTTTTAAAACTATTTTTTTAAACACATTTCTGTGCGCATTTTACGGAAAACGTTAATTAAAAGGCAAAAAATGGTAAAATTTCAGTTTCCAAGGACTCTCAAACTTTGGAAATAACCAAACTTAGGCGACCACGTTTTCTCTTTAATTTGACCTTTGAAGCCAGGCAACCCGTACTCCCTTCAATCACAAATACCTCGACTTCTGTTCAAGATAATTGGGTATTTTTTTCATCGATTGAAAGATAAATAAACAGACTTTAGGATGATACTAAAAACTCCATATGCCGAAAAATTGACGAGTGCCTGATTCCATCTCACCATGACACAATATACTGACATATATACTGACTTTATTTTTCTTTGTACTCTTTCAAATCTAAGTTTCCCCCTGTCTGTTTCCCAGGTGTGGAATAAGTTCAACCTCAACAACAGTGCCAGGCAAGAGCTCGGTCCTGTGAAGAGCCATCTGACATTGCAGATTATCACTGGGAGCATCAGTTGATCTATGAGTACACAGTTTCCGCAGTGTCATTGATAAACCTCACTCTTTGACAATGAGATCCCAGATAGATATATATGATCAGGCGGTTTAATTTGTATGCGTTCAAAAGGGCAGTGCCCAATCATCAAATTAAAAAAAATGTTTAACCCAGTACGTGTTTGTAGCTCTTTCAGCAGCTTATTAGCAGATAATTTCCTCCGACAGGTCAACTTGTCCCACAAAACTCTTGTATTATAATAAGAAATAATTGTAGAAACAATCGAGACTTACCTGTAAGTTGATGATTGTTTCTGATTTTGACGATCTGTCATCAGGAACGGAGTGGTGAGCAGTTGACAACAAAGACATACTTTTGCGCTGTGATTTTTTCCTCCTTGAAGGCTACAGTTGCAAGCATGGTGTTATTTCACATGTACTGGGCTGTACCCAGTGATAACATCAGTATTGTGAGCTCCTTAGGAAAGCCTTTCAAGTTTGCGCGCACCGTTCTAGTGTGAGAAAAGTTATTTTATCCAACAAGTACTTATCCAGTTGAGGCTTTGTGTAGCAGTTGTCTGTGAACAAAGGAAATCCCTTTTTGAGGACTTACACACTTTCATTGAGTTTTTGACGACACCAAAAGTCGACAAAAGCCGGTCACAAACATGAAAGTCTTTCCCAGCATACAGCTCTGTGTTGTACACAACCATCAAGTTTTGTATCACGTAGTTGGAAATGCTTGATGCCAAATCTTGTGTGCCTTTCATTAGTTAGGCATATATTGTATGTACATGAACCTACTCTTTGTTCCAATCATGCTCTCGTTGATGGATATATTATGTGCTTGGTGCGTACGCCACAGTCGCACTTCCTCTCAGAATAGGACACCATGCGGTTAGAATCAGAGAAGCTGTCAATCATGGTGCTGTTTGGAGGAATGTTGTTTCAGCATTTTAAGTTTCTTCCTCTGGAATGTTTTTAGCAGCATTGAAGGTGTCAGTGAAGCTGGTCTTCTTTCAAATCAAGTCAAGTGTTTGACGAGGTCCATTGATGTGTAGAACCTTTTGGCCAGGGCCGAACGGCTTCAGCAAAGTGTCAGAAACTTTCACAGCTTGAGTTTGAGAAATGTGTTCAGTAAGTTCATGTTGAAGGATCATGTCTGACTTCCAAAATGTATAAGTGGGTTGAGAACGTACCTTATTTTGTTGTCCACTAGACCGAAATCCTTCACGTGATGCTTAGGGGGTTTTGATGGGTCTTACTGTTTTGTATTACCAGGATCCTGTCCATCCCACCACCATTTCATCCAGTGATAACGCTTTGCCTAGATAAAAAGCTCACAAGACAGAGTTGACAAACGGCTCTATTTTCTCCATGCCCTCAATACATGTGTGTATTTGTCTGACACCAAACGAAGTCTGGTGAAACATGGCTCAAATTAACTGATGTGTTAAGTATGCAAGACGTTTTATTGTTGGTGTGGATTTGTTAATTCGGTGGGGGGGGGTTTGCAAAATGTTTCCTCTATTGTCTTAACACTAACAGTACCGCACTTGTCGCGAGGCCATAGTATGTGCTCACTGCCGCTGGGAACTGAAGTCGCCGACACAACCAGACACACTGAACATAATTAAACAATGTACAGACCCACTGCTCTGGAGCAAATACAAAAAAGGTAAATGATAGCTGAATGGTTGATGAACGTCTGTGAGTTTTTAAAGCGTGTTTCTTAGGCTGCCAAGGTTGTTTTTTTTAATTTAGAAAAATTCTACCACGGAGGCGGTATTTTTAACTGGTGCGGTACTTGAGGGTTTTTCCCCTATATGAGCCTTTGGTACTGTAAGTGTTAAGTGCCTTTGAATTCACACACAGTGCACATATAAATAATTTTGTATCCATTCAAAGCAAGGCTTTTTCTAGGCCAGTGCTTGCCCACAAGGATGATATCGGCAAGTAATGGGCAGTTTGGTCTTTTTGGTGGGTTGTGGGGATTACCCAGGTAGTGACAGGTGTTCTTTTCTTTGGGGGGGGGGGGGGGGTTCTTTTTCCTTTTCTTTCTCTTTTAGGATTTGAATCGCACATGGGGAAAATTTTTATCAAGTCTCTGGGTCATCTGCTAAGATGTTATATCCCTCTTGGCCCTAGTTGGCCCCAACAGGCAGTATTGAAGCCTGACTCCTAATTAATCTTAATTATGTTGATGGGGGTGTAAAAACATCTAATTTAATAAAAAAAGATATGTTAATATTCTTTATCTTATTTGATGGTTGGGTTATTGCCCATGCCTGTGAAATGTTTTTGAATGTATTTTAGCTACATGTATCGGAGTGGACCTACTCTACAATGCTCTTTTATTTACCTTGCAACATAATTTGTATGTTCACCTAATTGTAGATAGCTTAGTGAATGAGCTCACGGCAGAGCGAGTCAGTCGCGAGACACCCAGACATTAGGGACCAGTCGTGGCATCTCGAGTTTTTTGGATGGGTCTAAACTGAACAGCTAGCTCTGTTAATCAAAATACGACCATTATACGGTAAAGACATTACATTTGTGTCACAACGCTGTGGAATCAGGCGCTCGTCAATTTTTGGGCATATGGAGTTATTGGTATCATCTTAATGGTTATTAATTTACCTTATTTTCGATGTTATCTCGAATAGAAGTCGAGATATTTGTGATTGAAGGAGGTGGGGTCACCTGGTTTCAGAAGTAAAAATAGTGAGAAAATGGCTGCCAAAGTTTGGTAACTTCCATTTCTTAAGGGTTCTTGGAAACTGCAAATTTACATTTTTTGTGCGTTTAATCATTTTTCCATAAAATCCACACATAAAAGTATTTTTGAATGGACATACAAGGTGTTGTGCCAAAAAACAAAAATTAGGAAAAAAATGTATAAACTGTCCGAAAAATGCAGATTTCTCGGATTTCATTATTTTGACAAGCGCCTGATTTCACCACGATGCCTCACACATATTATTATTGTCCATTTCAGGTATCTTTGAGTATGATTTTTATAAAATTATCCTGTACCTATACATTGTATAAGTAGTAAATGTACTTTTCAGTAACTTTGTAAGAGCTGTTTTGTAATTCCATGCATTCTAATTCTTTTCTAGATTTCCAACAAATAGGTGCATAACACTTCACAAAATGTAGATTGTTAATTTGTCATAATAATGGCCATCTGTGTTTTAAAGTTGTGTTTTGGTGGGGGGGGAACGAAAAAACTGGTTAAAGTGGTTCCAAGTTGGAGAATAAATCAGAAAAACAACCATAACTTTTTACACAGTAAAGATATCAACACAATTTTAGCTGTTTTATTATCAGGAAGCCAGTGGCTTCCAAATGAAATTGTCCTAAAGTATACCAGTTGAATTGTTCACCAAACTGTCTAATGATATAGATTCTCAGACTCGGATAGTATGGTTATTCAACAGGGTTAAAAGTAAATGTTTGTTGAATGATGTACAGTATAACACGGATAGGTCAAACACAGAAGACTCGAAGTCACGCATCTGTTGAACTGTGCCTGCGGTCCCGCTTTTTTGTGGGGGTTTTTTTTTTTTGGTTTTTTTTTTTTTTCTTCTTTACCTTTTAATTGTAAGATATCCCTCGAACTACGGTCTCTTAAACCACGAAGGTCGGTTCCGACGAACTTGAGCTCTCCATGTTATACTGCACTTTTGGATTTTGCATCCCTTTCAGTTCAATACAGTGAAAAGTGTTGGCCTCATGTTTAGTACTTATGGCATTATGGGATCGATGGGAGTGAGTGATATGAGAGATACATGGTACATGTATTCTGCCGTAAGCTGACAAAGCACCTTTTTTTTTTCTTTTTTTTCTTTTCATTTTGGTGCCAGAATGTTTTTGTTGCTAAAATGAACTTGTGTGACAAAATCAAGGTCGAACTGTTGACAACTTTTTCAATTTATTAAATAAAAATTAAAATGTCAGAATCACTCTATTTTAAATAGTTACGCTGACAAGAAAAACTCTTTTTCTCGAGACTGCTATGAAGGGAAAAAAGGTGTTTTGTCAGGTTACGACAGGTCAACTCTGTGAGGCTATCTAAAAGAGGGTCTGTAGTGTCTCTGCTTTGACATCCTTCTCCGATAGGACAAGGACAGAGCTAACCAGGTGTGTGCAGAGCTGTGATCCTTCTAGCCCAATTGTTGTCTTCCTTTAGGGAAAAGAACAAGATAAATTCACATTATACTATAGTGCAGCCTCTCTATAACGACATTGTCGGGACCAGACAAAAATGTAGTTATAGAGAGGCAACTGAAATATTACTTAATATATATTATTATAAGGAAAAAATGGGGACCCGGGCACCTTGTCACTATAGAGGATGTCGTTATATATATCGAAAGTCGTTATTGATAGGCTGCACTGTATGATAATGTAGCTCAACTCAACATTTTACCAACTGAGCTTGTGAGCCTCTCATTCTCAAGAAGACAGTAGGTTGATTTGCAGACATATGGTCCGGTCGCTTTTAAGCACAAGAGGACTATCCCGAAAAATGCTGTTTTGAGAAAATTGAATGTAAAGTTTTTGGACCCTTGTTTAGTTTCTTTAAAAGACGAGGAGAGTTTTCTCTATAACCAAACAAATATACACATAAAAATAAATGAAAACACACTTCTCCTAAATAGGTAGGGCAATGCCCTTTTTTGGTGTAGGTCAAGATTTCTGGAAACCCCCGAAATCTGGGTTTGCCCGCTTGTTCTTGAAAGCTACCATATATATTGATTGTATTTAATTAAAACAAGTGAATGAGGAAGGCCTGGTTTGATATCAGATTTCCGGTGATTGGATAGTTGCTGCAAGTACGATAGCCCATTGACTCTCATGTGGGAACTTTTATGTACAAAACCACCAGAGGGTCTGTCGTGTTTGTGTTGTCAGTACATCGTGTATGAAAATAGCAGCCTCTGACCCCTGCCCTTTTCCCCGAATTCTCAATTGTAAAAATGTGGCATTTCTTGAGAGGAATGTACATGTGTATAATATTGTGGTCCTTATTTGTTATTCTTTTTTTTTTTTTTTTTCCTTGTCTTTTGTAAATGTGCACAATCGGATGCCTTGCCTTAAATGAATCTGTGGCAATGTAGTTGTGTACTTTTGTACTGCATGTGTATAAAGTATAAATATAAAATCATGATTTTCAATAGTGCTCTTTTGTTCACTGATTTCACTAGAAACTGGAAACCTTATTTTGGTTTGTAAAATAATACACGCCATAGCATGCCATGTAGGAGTTTTGAATTCTATTCATGTACTATGTACAGTCAACTATGGAGTTGTTCATGTCGTTGGGGGAGTGAAAAATAGATCAACTCATCCAAAGTTCAAAGTAACCGTTGGGGTCAGTTAGAAAAGGTGCTGGAACCCGAGAAAAAGATCGTTAACAGTAACTGGAGATCAAGAGAAGCGAGTTCGACACAAGCGGAGTCGACTGTTTAATGAGAATCTTTATATCAAGTATACCCGTCTTTCTGCTTGGTGGGGGGGGGGGGGGGCTCTCGTGGCCTAGAGGTTAAGGTCTTCGCCTCTCATTCAATAGGTCCTAGGTTCGAATTCGGATCGGAATGGAAACTTTTCTTCTCTAAAACATTCTCCTTTCACATCCTTTCCTGCTCTCTAGCAATGTTCTGTAGTCTGCTTTCGTCTTCACTTTAATCCCCCACCCCCTCACCTCCTTTGCACCCTCCTCTGGGCTCCTGAATCTTTCTACCTCTGCTCTTCGGCTCCTTTTTAATTCTGTCTTTCAGCCACACCCCTGACTATTATGATAGGAAAGATCTACACCAAGCCTTCTCGGACAAGGGCGAAAAGTCTCGTAGGTCCCTTGTGCATGTTAAATATCCTTTGGTGGTCCAAAATCGATAACAATAGGCTTCGGCCATCATCCGGGCAAAATTAAACAATAATGCCTATCAATTGAAAATATTTGGTGTGCCCCGCGCGCTCATATGACCTTATGCAGTTGCGAGCGCCGTAAAACGCTCACAAAACGTAACCAAAAAATTCTGCTTGGGTGTTGTATCCCTTTTATCCCTAGCTAGCCCTGACAAAGGGAACAGCTAAAACGCGGGTGGTGGTTGGAAGGCGCTACTGTAGGTCCTTCTTCTTTACTTTCACTCTGTTATTTCTGTATGTCCGTCTTACTTTTTCCCAGCAGTCAAAATAAATGAACATTATTGTATCTATATGTTTCTCTTTACTCCAAGAAACAAAGAATCTGTTAAAACTGAAACAACCTGAATATTAAACGATTTTTTAGTTTTTAGTTAGGTTTACAGCACCCACAACTGCATAAGGTCATACTCATATGAGCGGCAAGGGGTGGATGTCAACAGAGAAGTCCAAACGGGGAATCAGGCTTACTCTGCTCACGTCTCTTGCTTCAACAGCACAAAGTCTGCTTCGACTATCAAGGCACGACGTAAACAGCAGTTCACAACAGAGTGACAAACATACTAAAAAAGTAAAGAAAAAATGACGATAGTGAGGATGAGGAAAGAAAAAGCAGCAGTTCCCCTTATGTCGTTTCGGCACAGTATGTGCATGACATTGACAAGTCAGCCCATTTACAATTCTACTGTGCATAAGAACCTGTTAACATCCCCCCTTTGGGAGTGGCTTAAGACACTTCAGCCAGTAGTGCTGCCCTGGGGGTGGGGGGGGGGGGAATTAAACGATCTAAACCTAGGAGCAGGGAGTGAATATCACTCTTAGTTTAGAAGTTTGTGGCGGGTGCTCTGGTGTGGTTTTCTCCTTCTTTCCTATCAAATATTTACCGCAATGATCTCTCCTCCTTTATTATTCTTGTTAGTCTCTTGTAACCTTTCTAATCTTTGCCACTTGTATGACCTTATTGTGTTGCAAGTGCCTTAAAACTCTTACTAAAACTAAAAAACCGGCTTCTACAGCGAAATGGGCCGTTTGTTCCCGCATGCACAAAACCTGAACTGGATTGCCAAACACAGATTTTTTTTAAAATTAAAGGGAGTGCGTATTTAGGCCACATATGGCCTAAATAAGGTAAGGGAGGGGGGTTTAGTTTATTTATGTGGCCTAAATAAGGTAAGGGAGGGGGGTTTAGCTTATTTAGGCCACACATGCTCAAACTACCCTTTTCAGGCAACTGAGTTCGTTCCACTTTCATAATGGTGCACCTTTCTCATTTAGTACGGTTTTGTCTCAGTGTACAACTTATAAATCATAACCATAATGAATATTGTAAAGAACAAAGCACAATACGCAAAATTTTGCTCAATCCCAATGGTTTGAATGAGGGCCAGATTTTTCCTTCATGGAGGGGCAAAAGCTAGGCTACCATTTTGGCACACTTTGGTCAAGTGAAAAGGTCAAATCCTCCGAATGGACTTCCAGACTTCCGGGTTAAATAATAACAAATCTCAGCATAACAATCACTTTTACTTTTATTAGAATAATTAGATCCAACTTTTTTTCTAGAATCTGTTTTGCGCAAACTTAAGATTTTCTCTACTTTTAGAGCACAGAATTTACATTGTAAGCCTCTGCTCAGTCTTACAGTATACATAATAAAATACACACACACACATATATATATATATATATATATACAAAGAGAGAGAGAGAGAGAGAGAGAGATCTATATATAATCCTTTTATGTTGTTTTCAGGATATTTTTAAAACTCTTTTTTTGAACATGTCATAAAATCAAATTGTGCCATTTTCTTTGAAAAGAATAGCATTAGCAGTGGACTTTTTAGACAGCGAGTCTCTGATTCAATATTTTTTTTTAAAAATATGCTAATAAATGAAAATTGCAAATTGATAATAGTTAAGTCCTGAAGAGGATAGGTGGACTCCGGGGTCTGCAAAGCGAAATACTAGGTTTTAGGATGTGAACCCCGGAGTCACCGTAGTGAAATAAGGTTTGGTTTAAGTAAGGATTGGTGGACCCCGGGGTCAACGTAGTGATAAATAAGCAGGTTTAAGGTGGACCCCGGGGTCTACCTAGCGAAATACTAGGTTTTAGGACAGGTGGACCCCGGGGTCACCGTAGTGAAATAAGTATGTTTCTTTAAAGATTGGTGGACCCCGGGGTCAGCGTAGTGTTCTACCTATTCTAAAAACCTAACTAGCATTTCGTTACGTAGACCCTGGGGTCCACCTTAAACCTACCTATTTCACTACGTTGACTCCAGGGTCCACCAATCCTTAAAATTAAACCTAGATCTACATGTACTTATTTCACTACATTGACCCCAGGGTCCACCAATCCTTAATTAAACCTAGATCTACTGATTTCACTACATTGACCCCGGGGTCCACCAATCCTTAATTAAACCTATATCTACTTATAATTTCACTACGTTGACCAAGGGCTCCGCCAGTCCTACTATAAAATAAACTGAGATCTACTTATTTCACTATGTTGACCCCGGGGTCCACCGATCCTTAGTTAATTAAACCTAGATCTACTACTTATTTCACTACGCTGATCCGAGGATCACATCCTAAATCCGAGCATTTTGTTAGGTAGACCCCGGGGTCCACCTATCCTTTTGGCTAGATAGACCCCGTAGTCCGCCTATCCACTTTCCTGATAATAACTGAAAACAATACATGCCAGTTGTCATGAATAGTGAAGAAAAATGATGGAAAAAAAAGACAATGGGGTAGACTATAATTTATCAAAAAAATTGCAAGTGCAAGTGAAGATCATAAAATAATTTTGTTATTTTCTGGTCATCTTTCCCGGTTTATAAAAAAAAATTAAGTGGGCCTACTACTAGATCTATGTCTCTGAAGAACATTTTGCTTGCCTTTATTAGCTTTTTTCATGTACATGAAAGCATAGAATATTTAGTTTCACACAAATATATGCACAATACTTTGAAAAAGAAAGATAAGGTCATTGGGTTTTTTTACGGAATCCGTTTTACATTGAGAAAAGCGCTAAAAACAAGTTTAAAAATTTTAAGAATGCCCATAATATTAGTATTAGGAATCCGAAATTACTACCTAGCTGGCTTACTCTTTAATAACCATGAGCAGTTAAGAAAAAAAAAGACAATGATATAGGATTTGTCTAAATATGACCATTAGTAATAAAGATTTTGCCCATTTTGTCCAATTATCCTTGCAGGTAAAACCACCCTGCACTGTACCTCAATAAGC